TCCACAATCAGAGCGTACGTGATCAGTTAGGGACGTGCGCCCAGAAAATTTCTTTCCACATTTATCACACACGAAATTTCGTTTCGATAAAGATTTGCTATCCTTCTCCTGCTCATGTTTTCGCATGTGATTTTTAAGCGAATCATGTCCAGTCATATATTTTTCGCAAATATTACAATAAATCAAATCGCGATGCTCTTTGCGCGCATGTGCTGTTGCATCCTCTTTTGTAGCGAAATATAGCGAACAATAACAGGGGCATTTAAAGGTCAAGCTGCCATCAGGACCTATCAAAAATCAGTAAAATCAATTAATGATCTTAAAATGAAAATATAGATATATATATATAATTATACCATGCATTTCTATATGGTTAGTCAAACGCTTTTCCATCAAATATATTTTGTGGCATATATGGCACTTAAAAACTTCTCCGTCATCTATTACTGCTTCTTCAGATTTAAACATTTCCTTAAGTTCTTCTTCCGGCCGTTTATGATCGACGCGTAAATGATTTTCAAATGGTTTGCGTATGTGATATACTTTTATGCAGTAAGGGCATTGCCAAGGCTTTTCTGCACGCTTTGTCTGTTTTAAGCGCGCTTTTAATTCTTTCTGAGACAATTTAGCCATGCGCCCTGATTTACGTATTTTGCCCTGGGTTTCTCCATTTTTATCGGCAGAATTCGATACAGTAGTATTTTTTGATAATTTGCGTCGTTTGCGTCCACGCTTTTGCTTCTTTATATCTTGCTCTTGGTGTTCATGGAGGCTCAATTGGGAATTGATTTCTTGCAGCATATCTTCTTCATCATTTACACTACTATTACCAACATATGCATCATCAACTCCAAGAGACATAGTTTCTTCTTTTGCATCACCTTCATCACTAAAATAAACGTTTTCTAAGTTTTCTTCGCCAATCTCACCATTTTGTAGATTTTCCTGGCCATCATCACCAAAAAAGGGCATCTCTCCTTTTTCCTCACCAACACCACCAGTGAACGCGTGTTCTGCATTTTCATCGGTTTCGGAATTCGTTGGTTTATTATTTTCAATGGACTTGCGTATTTTCGCTTTTGGTACCTTCACCCGATCGTCGACGTCTAAACGCATATTCCGGCCTTTAGCAGAAGATCGTTTCTTCGGACGGGGGAAGGATGCGGCATTTCGTGCAACTATCACGCTTGAATCGCCTTTAAGAGCTGGATAGCGTTGACAAACGTCTATGAGCGTGATTTTACATGGCGGTATCATTGAATTGTCAGGCTGTAAATTATACATACATATGTATGTATTACATTTAAAATATTATTTCAAATGTACAATAATTTTTTTTTACAAAACTCACATGATCAATATTTAAAATATCCTCCTCCTCTGCATAATTGACATCGTTCTCATTTTTGACAAAAACCAGCTCAGTCTCTTGTAGACTAGCTGGCTCCGTTTTCGTTATTCTACGCGTTGAACCATTCTTTACAACATCGTCATTCAATAAACAATCGATTAGTTTAACCTTATCGTCATTCTCTGATTTTATGCCGAGTTCGCCATCAACAAATCCTCGAGAATCAATGAATTCAAGTTCGTCGTCTTCAAATGAGTGCTCGTCGTCTATTTCGTTGACTATTTGTATGCCATTCTCTTCTTTTATGCTCGCCTCTTTCGTAAGTGATGACTTCACATCAGCTTTATACTCATACTCGCTGTCACTATCGGCTGGATCGAAGCCTGGATAATCTTCGTCAGAGTCCGAAGCATATTTGCTCGATTCCTTTTCTAACTTTGTAACACCGCCCAAACCATCTATTAAATTTGTAACTCTTTCTTCTGTTATAGCTCCGGGCCCTGTAGCAGTACTTTTACGTGCTGTTGATTTTGTCCGTTGAACTTTTTTAAGCTCTTTTTTAGGCCGTTTGCGCAATTGCGCCTTATGGTCTGGTTTGATTACACGGTTAGAATTGCTTACTTTTATTTCCGAGGTAGGATTAAGAGTTGGCGGTACTGCAAAGAGATTTGAATTATTAATCACATTTTTGGTTAAATCTCAAATAATGCATTCGAGACGTAGCCCAAACTATGCAACTTTCAATGCACCTACTTCTCAGGCAATGTGTCCGCAAACGTTGCTTAGGAGGATCGAATTCCGGTAATCCGCATGTATCGGGGCGTGTACGTCGATGTTTGATTAAATTCGAATGACATGAGAAACGTGTAAGGCAACATTTACACTCCACTAAACGAATGCCCGTATGTATCGAGGAATGCGTAACAATGCTCTCGCGATGTGCAAAACATTTGCCACAGACCTAGAAAAAAGGGGTTATTAAAAACTTTGCTTCGCAACTTAAACTGCTTTCTTACATCACATTTATGTGGTTTTTCGCCAGTGTGCGAACGCTCGTGTTCGACAAGTCGTCCTTTTTGTAAAAAGTTCTTGCCACAATAGCTACAGCAATATTTACGCTCACCCGTATGTAACACCTTGTGTTGCTTGAGATTGTATTTGGTTACAAAACTCATCGAACATTGTTCACACTTGTACGGTTTGATTGTACCACATTCTGTCTCCATGTGGCGTTTGAATGGATACAGTGTTTTATATACTGCACCACATTTGTCACACTTGAACATTTCTCTGTCGATGCCATCGTGCAAAATGCGTATATGTTCGCGATAGTCATTTTCGTTGGTAAATGTCACTCCAGTACAGAGCCGGCATATAATCGTTGTATGTACTTCAGCGCGATGCTTTTTCAATTCATCATCGGAGCAGAAACGTCCATCGCAATAACGGCAGATGAAGCCACCTGGTGGCTCATGTTTCCTTACATGCTTTACATAACCACTGAGGGATACTAGCGCCTTGTCGCAAATAGGACAGTGCAATTTGGGAACACCATCGGTGGTCAGCTGCACCAGCATCGCTGATTTAGTGCCAGTATCAGTAGCAGATGGTTGAGCTGTAGATGTGCTGGGGCTTGACGAGTTGGGAGGCGAATCGGGTGCTGCCTTTGTTGCACCTGGAAAAACGTATATTTAGCGCAAACAAAGATGTAAACAAAACAAGTTGTAGTCGTGTAATGTTGGCAACTCTGGTGAAAGATGAAAAAATTGGAACAACAAATATGTAAATGCAAAGCCGACAAGGGCACGTGAACCTTTTTTATAATTCCATATTTAAAGAAATCCTTATGGCTTCACTTACATCTGCGTGCGACACAATTGCCAGCATCCAACTACAAGTACATACATATGTATGTAGGTGCACTTACTCATATCCATTTTTGCTAAGAAACCAACAAAGGACCAAAGTTACTTCTTTAAATTTCGCTATATTTCAGGGACTTGGTCAATCAAATCTCAGTTTATATATTCGCCCTTCATCTCATTTAACCAGCTTTTTATTTTCTTTCCTTTACCAGCAGGTTGTATTCAATTGGAAATTGATTACCACGGCAGCAGAAAAGAACTCATGTAAACAACTATCGCACTGCAAAAAACGATATACAATTTTTCATAAGTGCATGTTTCGGCAAATACTCTACACTTTTAAAATTCAGTTATTCAAATTGCTGAAAATCTGTGCTTATCAAACATTTCTACACTTAAAAAATCGACACGTTCGTCCGCAGACTGTGAAAATCAAAGATGGCAGACTGCATAAAGCAAACGTAAATTTCGTTGTGTGTATTCGTTGAGATTTGATTTCCAATTGGGAGAGCGATGAGCGCACGACAGCATTGCCAGCTGCAACGAACGAAAATTATGAATGAAACTGGTACATGGGGAAAATTGTTGATTGTTTTAGGCATGACTTCATTATTCATGGTTTTGGGAAATTAATTTCATATCGAATGAAGTAAATTAAATGTCTTTAAAACTTAGTCTAATTATTATGCAAAAAACTGTATCTAAATATTTTGGGTGAATATTTTTACCAGCGAAAAAGTCCAATACGATTTTTTTTACCGTCTATCACGACTTTACAAGCACAGTGGCTTCTCGAATAACAAAACTTGAATCTTGAAGCTGGTGGTGGGTTAGAGTACAACTCCACAACAAGCTTTACAGGCTTTCAGCTACACAATCCAGCTATTGCTGGAAGCCTTAAAAGCGCTGAACGCCTGAAAAGCTTGTTATGGAGTTATACTCATAGGAGTAATGCGCAAAATACACCACACAAATATTTGCGCAAATACTAATTGGTACAAATAAGATTCTTACTCGATGCCTATTTGTACTGATTGCTATTTGCGCAAATATTTGTGTGGTTTATTTTGAGCATAAGAATGCGATAATTATTTTCTGGATTCTGTAAGTAAGAGTAAAGGTAAAGTTGTTTTTTCCCTGCAAATAAACCAAATTAATTTGGTTTGTATTTTTGATTTTTGATTTTGCTTTAGAATTTGTTTGAATAAATATCCGTATGCATAAAAGTTAAGCAAATGCTTTTTCTTAAAACTTAAGATCTTTCACTCAATTTGTTCAAATAAATTTTGGTGAATGGTATGAAAGTTTAAGAAGAAAGAAAGGGTTTATGCATACGAACCAATGTCTAGAAGGAATTTATGCCGAATTTATTTGAAATTATCGGTAATATCGGCGCTCGCCGGACATAAGTGGCGAAAAAGTCAAATACGATTTTTTACCATCTCTCACGACTTTACTAGTATAGTTGCGTCTCCATTAAAAAAACTTGTTGAACCTTAAAAGATGGCAGTGAGTTATGAAAAAGAATGCAAGTGTTATGGTCTGGTTTCTGAAAGGAAGAGGCAATTAAAATGGTACGGATATTTTTTCCCTGTAAATAAAAAAATGTATAAAATTTTGTTTTCTATTTTTGTTGGAATAATTAGTCTGTTCCAATAGCAGTCCGGTTTACAGGATTTAGTCAGAACTTACAGGAAGTCGTTCCTATTGACATAAAACCTGTAAGTGGGAACACATTTGAGAGAGTAACTGAGCAA